CGCACGCACACACACACACACACACGCACACCCACACGCACACACACACACACACTCACACACACACACACAAAAAAAAAAACACGCTCACACATACATCCAAACACACACACAAACACACACACACAAACAAACAAACACACACACACACAAACAAACACACAAACACACACACACAAACAAACACACACACACACAAACACACACACACACACAAAGACACACACAGAGACGCACACACACACACAGGTTTTTACTGCAGGCGCTGGATTACTTCGAATTTTTGCTTCGAACCCATGCTTCCTTCCACACCCTTTTTCGCTGCGCTTCGTGAGTCGGACACTCAATATGCACACCTCCGTGTCATGTCGATAAACAAAAAACCTTCACGTATTTAAACATGCTGCTACCCTGCATGTACATGTGTATCTAGACAATCATGAGGCCAAGGCTGGTAATGAGCCATGAAGCTGGCTCGAGAAGAGCCTTGAATCTCTTTGCTGCCACCACAAACCTCGCCTGGCCTCGTCGAGCGCGGGTGCTCAAAAATCTAGACAATACATCTACAGACAAGCACCCATCGCACCCATCGCTCAGATGGCAGAGTTACAACCTAGTAAGCTTCTAATGCCTTAATTAAGAAACATCTCAGCAGCTGCGTGCAAGCATTGTAGGTCCGACTAGGGTATTTGCTCCGTAGTGGCGTGAGGTGCCTATGCTTGTCAAAATGGAAGGTAGCCGCTCTCACTGGGGCACTCAACAACGTTTGCTTCGTAGCAGTTTTCATGTGTCTGACACTTGTGTATGTTGTGTTCAACCTTGTTTGGTTTTCTCGAGTGTGTGTGTGTGTGCCCTAAACCCAAGCATGTGAGCTAAGGTTCCCAGAAGTGGCTCACAGACCTGACCCTTTTGAAGGCGCTGAATGGTTCCAAGAGAAGCTCTACATCGAATGGGATAGTGTCGTGTAGATGCAATGACTCCATATGCCCCTAGCCACCTCACGAACAACAAGCGACGAGCTGTGGCAAGCTAACAGGAGATGCTGCAGCACAAGGAGGACCCCAAGTTGCATGCAGAGCCGCTTGGAACACGTGCATGACCAGATTCCAAACCTTACCGGTTTAGCTGTGACACGAAGCTCCTTTAGCCCCATAGAAGCACCAATCTGCCATAGGCATCGTGTGTTTAAAATTGTTCAAAGACCCAGGCACCACAAGTTGAGCACCACGTGTCTGCACCTTGCTGGTCTGTTCAGACCTGTGAGGTGGATGGCAATGAAGCGCGGGTGCAAGGCGAAACTGGCAGAATGGCTGCAGGCGACCCGGGCAACCCAGATGACTCGTGGACGGGAGCCAATGTCCGTTTTGGTTGTGCAGGAGACAATGGACCTCCAGATTGACCAAGAGGCCCTCATCGACATCCAGAGCCAAGACAGCAAGAGGACTTTGCTGTCGTAATCTGGAATGGGCGACGGCGTGTGGATGCTTCGCAGTCACTGTGCTAGACGAGGGGTGCTTGAAGCAACGGCGGGTGAGCATCAGAGTATGTTTGCTTTGACCTAAAGCATGAACGAGCACATGCAGCAGAACTCCTGAAGTGAAGTCTCTTCATTGTGGATTCGTCTTCTCTGTTGAACTGCACACGGCCGGCGGCCCGACATCGTGATTCATGTTCCGTTGAGCATTGGAATTGCGACAGCCCTGGTGATGTCCAATGTCACCTGCCTGCAGCCTTGTGGCTAACAGCAGCCCGTACTGTAGTGACGCTGACCGTCGCCATGACGTCTTCCTGCAAAGCAGTAGATGCGTGGATGCAACACCCGACGAAGCGCTTCATGACGGATGACATCTTCACGTCGCTGCTGCGATGGAATCGCCTCGACCCTGCTCAGTTCCAGCAAGGAGAACATCCGATTTACTCCACGCAGATGTCCTTGAGCAGCATGGAGTCAGGACTTGTGGAGGCAGGCCTCATTAGCGCGTGGTACAGTCCACAGGGGCCAATGATCTCCAACGAGGAGCTGCTCAGCATGAAACGGAACAAACTACTGCAATAATGAGCCTCAGGTTCAACAGGTAGCGACTGCCGCTGCAAGAGTCACTGTTGCGGCCAGGATGTGCGGAACGCCTGTGAAGCCCACCCTGGTCGCTTCTTCGGTGTTGCTTCTGGAGACATTCGCGATCCCGTGCGTTGCGTGCAGGAGATTCGAAATTTTGCCATCGGGCAGGCAGTGGCAGTGTTGGGGTTTCGGGGGATTGGTGTAGGCCACAAATCTATAGTTATACTATAGTTTCCTGATGTTTCCTGTCTGTTTCCGCCCATCATGCGTGCACCTGCTGTGACCGTATTCAGCTCAGGTCAAAAATCATGGCTTCGTCGCTGTGCGAATTTTGCCGTGGCTGTGGCAAAAGTATGCCAACGACCCTTTGTTCTATCCGATATACACGGCGTGTGTCGAGCTGGGCGTGCCGTTGTGCTTGCAGGCCGGCATGTGGCAATTGCTCGGGTTATCACCAGTTACTAGTAGTAGTAGTAGTAGT